CGCGCAGGCGCCGGGCGCGCTCAAGGCGGCCATGTTGCCGGGCGGGGCGGACAAAGGGCCGGGCGGAGCCGCGCCGGAGCCCGCCCTGAGTCAGCAGCAGGGGCGCCGCAACAGCCCAAGGTCGTTGACCCGGGGCAGCCCGCGGAGCGGCGCGGCGGGGTCGCCGTTGGCAATTGCCTCCCCACGCCTGGGCGCCAGCAAGCTTGGCCACGCCTTCAGCTTTAATGGCCGCGACCGCGGCGCGGTAGCTGCCCCCGACGCGGCGGGGGGCGGCCGGCAGAGCCCCGTGCAGCCACAGCAGGGCTTCGGGCGCGGGGGAGATCGCTCGATGGACCAGTTTGACAGGGGAGGCGACACGTTTGAGGAGTGCGACAGCGTGAGCGACGATCAGGAGCCGCTGCAGCCGCCGCCGCTGCTGTCGATGCCGCCGCTGCCGGCGCTCCCAGGCCTGCAAGGCGCTCATCCCGTGAAGCAGGCGGTTGGGGCGCAGCAGATCAGCGCGGCTTCGCAGGGGCTGTTTGACTGGCGGGCGGATGTGGAGGCGTGCAGGCAGCAGCTGGACGCACTCCAAACGCTCTTTGGCGATATCTGAGCTGGTTTGCTGAGGATGTGGGGCAAGGGGGGAGCACCACAACACGCTGGAAACCCATAACTATCAACAACAGGAGGGCGTCACAGACATGTAGGAAGCCCCATAGCAGTTCGACTTGCCACAAGGTGGCGCAGATGTAGGCTTGGTGATCAACTGACTTTGCTGCCCGCGTGTGACTGACTACTCGACTGATTGGCGGCAGGCCTTGTGCGCTTCTGTGGTAATCTGACCGCACCATGACCACACACGAGACGCACACATGCTGGAGTCGTGTGCTACATTGCATGTGCAAAGTTGGCACCTTATTATGGCGGCTGCCACCCACAGCGCTGCCTGTGTGTACCAAATGCCGAAGTGCACCACCCCCTATACTTTTTCTGACCTTCTAGGCGTGTTGACCTCCACATTGACCTGGCAAAGGCGCCCGCAAACGCAGTGCTGCTCGCTTAGTCCCTCCGATTGCCCACGGCTGTATTGCGCAGTTGGATTTGGTCTGGTGCAAGGGCAAATTTGGGTATCACTGAGCCCTTGCCATCCAGTGGGGGGCTTTGCCATCACCCGCGTGCCTGGCCATTTTTAGTCGAGCCTGCTGCAGCCGTCACTTCCTTGATGCATGGCCAGCTGGACAAAGGTTTGAGTGGCCAGTATGGGCGAGCTAGAGTCGCAAGTGGTGGCGGCGGCAAGCGTGGTGCACCGCATCCTCCCTTGAGAAGTTGAATTTTGTTGAGAGCATGTCAAAGCCCTGTGATGGAGTAGAATACGCAGGTAGAAAGACGCTGGCCAATTTTGGAGCAATGGTGCCTTGCAGGATGCCACAGGTGAAGGAACAACAGCATCGACCCAGCGCGCACACCTGCAAACGTACAGAGTAACTTGCCGCATGCGCCCGCGGAGGGCACCGCAACAGGCTCGTGGAGGGCACTGTCACAGGCTCGCTGCACAGCCTCGGCGCTTGCTGTTCATGCACTGTGTCGAAGGGGGTGCTTGGATGGCAGCAGCGACAACTGCTTGCGGCACATGAGTTTGCGGTGACTGCATGTGCATCACGTCATGTGGTCAAGGGTGCGTTGTGACAATCTTTACTTCGTTGGTGCCATATGACCCGCTCTGATACATCGTGATTGCCTCCAGCCATGAGGAGAGATGCCAAAAGTCACAAGCGGTTTGCAAAAGAAGTCGCAAGTCCAGTCGAACAGCAGCGTCAGAACTCATAAGCCCTTGGGTGCCTTGTATGGCGAAGTGTGTGATTCAGTGATGATCGCTGCCCAGGACAGAGGCGGGGCAGGAGCGGAACGCAGCTGTGTGCGGGTGGGGTGATGGTGCTCCTAGTGAGTCATCTCGGCCAGCGCCAGTTGTCGATGATGTACTAGCGAGTCACAAGTGAAGAAGAGCGGAGTTCCTGTGTTGAGCAGTTTGTTCTTTGGGGTCTGTGCTGACCTGCTGTGCTGAAGTGCTGGCTTTTGAAGCTGGGGTTGCCATGCACTGAATCCTTTGAGCCTATGCCGCATAATAATAGGGAAGCAGAAGAAAGAGTGTGTCCGAGATAGGCTGTCATCATGTTCCCTTTTCTATCATCATATTTAGCACTGCGTAATCACGCACACGCGCTGCCTGCTTGTCTGCAACTTCAGCGCCTTCGCTGGTTCCTCAAACTTGAATTCAGATTTCCCACTCCCCTCCACATGCCAGTCCCGCGCCTTTAGAGAAGTCCACGAATGGCAGTTACAGGTCAGCCCGGCACGGGCACAAATACACGACGTGCCGCAGACGCCACCACAAAAGACAGGCACGCCACACAGTGGCGGGCGTTTCAGTGGGTCAAGCGGCGTGACCCCGCGGCCGGTCCCAAAACCCACACAAGCCGCCATCCATCATGGCCTTGTTGAAGCCAATACCGTGCGCCGCCCTTCCCTGCGCTCCAGCAGTTGGCGGGAATTGGGCCTGCCGCGTGCGTGCAGCCGTCGCTTTTGCACTCCAAAACTACAAGAGAAGGGCCAGGTCTTCTCAAAAGCAAAGCCCAGCAGAGCTGCGCTTAGTCCTCGTACACGCTGCGGTGGGGCTTAGTCCTCGTACACGCTGCGGTGGGGCGGGAGACGGTTGGGCGGGGGGCCGATGTCAGTGTGCATGTCGAGGGAGGCATTGGGACAAACGTGTGGTTATTGAAGGCTGGGACAGGGCGAGAGAGCAGGGGCATTGATGGCAGCTCCGGGGGTCAGCCTCCGGGGCGTCGATGGCAGCTGCACGGGCCATTATCCAGAGGCGTGGATAAGGTATTAGGTGTATGTCACCAGAGCGCGAACAGACCCTTGCAGGACGCATGGGGCACCCACCGGCACTCGTCGGCGTCGGGGTTGTCACCTGAAAGGCAACAGGGAGATCAAATAGGGCATGGAGATGCGATAATGGGTGCGTGCGTGTGCAAGAAGTATTCCGAGCCTCGCTGCAGGCTGGCCCGCGGCTGTCTGTGAGACTTGTGCCATGCCAGGGGCGAGAGGGCCAGGTCGCAGCCTGGCACCGCAGGGCAGAGACATAAGTGCGCGCATTTTTTCCTGTAGATTAACACACAAGCCCTGCTGCGATCCGTGCATTGGTGCCTGAGCAGGCCCGGCACAATACAACCACAAGCCTTTCATGGGCGCAACATGACCCAGTGGCTGGCAGTGCTATCCACCGGCCACAGCTAGCCTGCCCACCGCAGAACGCCTCCAGGGGGTCGCTGTTGGCCTGAGGGATGGGGGCGGGGGTGTGCGTAAGACTTGCAACTGACGCATCACCACTGAGGCACCCCGCACTCGCGCCTCGAGCCGCTGCTGTTGGTGAGCCCTGCGCTGCCAGTGACCCCGCAGTCGACTGCACTCACCGCCGCGTCCTTCTTGTGAGAGATGGCCGCGCTGATCTCCTCGACCTGCGGGCGGTTGAGACGGGGAGTTCGGAGTGGCGGGTTGAGATCGCACGGGGTCGCTGACCAGGGCACGCCGTTGCAGCCCTGCCAACCCCCTCCCGCCCATTCAAAACACGCCGAGAGTACTCACGTTGTCCCAGGCGGCAGCGCACTCGCCGGCAGGCCCGCCATCGCAGGTCTCCTCAGCCTCCTTGATCGCGGCCTCCAGGGAAGAAGCCTGCTCCTGTGCAGCGCCACGCAGCCCGGAGAGAGAGCCCACGCCATCAGCTTCGTGTTCACGCTCGCGCAACGCTCAATGAGAGCCCGCGACAAGCAGGCAGAGCACCTGGGCCCTTCGTCGAGAAGCCAGCCGGGGCGTCAAGGCACGGCGCGCGCAGAGGCTGGGCCCACAGGCTTACCGGCTGAGCACGGACGCGCACAACGCGCGCGCTGGGGCGGGCAGCCACGGCGCGGGCAGCCCGAACGGGGCGCGCAGTGGCGAGGGGGCGAGCCGTCAGCATGGTGATAAACGTTGAAAGCTGGTGGTGGTAAATTAAAAGTGGCTTCCCTGACGCGGCCTCCAGCTAAATCCTTTCGAAGCTGTCGGAAAATTATCGCGGAGAGTCATCGGGGATTTTTCCAGCCAGCATGTAGATTTGGGGTACGGTGAGCACGATCAGGTGCCATAGTTGGCGATTGAAGCACCGACGCAAGGCACCTCGCCCGCTGAGGCACCCAACGGCGGGCCGCCAGGTTGATGCTTGACGCTGCCTGTGCGCGCCACGCTTCGTACAGTACACAGCCAACAGGACGCACATGCACGGGTCGGGAAGCAAACTTGGAGATGTTGTAGCAGATGTCATGCATGTCGCAGGAGGGGGGCCTGTCCATCTGTTACACCAACTTACACCAACAGGTTCGAGTCATGATCAGGTGAGCAGTCAGACGTTTCGAGGCAGTCACGCAGGAGCCCCCCCCACCGCGGCGCCGTCATCGCTGACCCCCGGCTGCATGTATTACGACGGCTGCACCCACACAAATTCCTCGGTGTACGCCGAGCCGCCGCCTTGCACACCCACTGCACAGCTGGCCGGGCAGGTGTACACCGCGATCGTGCCCCTGCGAGAGGAGTGCGGACGCGAAAGACTCAGAAAACCGTGCGTTGGAGAACGTGCACGCCCGCGTCGGCACGCAGCCGAGCACAGGCCCTGGGCAAGCACCAAGCTCGGCGGCCCCTCTTCGGCCCCTAACCCCAGGCCGCACGCGGCGGCACAGCGTCATGGCGAGCGTGCGCGCACGCACCAGTCTGGTGCCTGGGGGTCCTCGTCATCCTCCCCCAGGAAGCTGACGAGCTGTGGCATGACCTGGAGCGTATGGAACGTTGGGACGGGTGATGGGCGGTGGTGGTTGGTGGTGGTGGGTGGGAGGAGCAGGCGAGGCAAAATGGGGACCCTGGGTGACGGTCCGGTGCCTCTCACACAAGGTGGGCAAATTACAGGCAATGTGCACTCGGCGTCACATCCACACCCACTCCCTGGCAGTAAATGGCAGCATCAGGTTCTCTGTTTGTCAGCAGGCGTGGCTGTTGCGCCACCCTCAGGTCAAAGTGAAGAATAGTTTTGTCTCATCACTTGCTGCATTTGTCGGGCGAAAAGGCACACATTAGCATCTACCTCTTGGCAAGATCCCATGCACGCACCACCAGGCCAGCCCACCTGGAACTCGAACTGGCGCGCACGGCCGCAGTGCGGGCAGGGGGGGATGTCGCCCGCCTTGGGCCGCCGCGATCGGCTGGGCCACAGCGGCGCCGCGCCCGCCTGGAAGCAGTAGCGCAGGCACTGCTCAGGGGCGCGCGCGCAGCGCGCCTGGAACATCTGCGACCGCGCACGGCGTGAGCGCAAGTCAATATGGAGTGATTGCATGCGTGCTTGTGTGTGTGTGTATGTGGGGGGGGGGGGTGAGGTATGGTAGAGGGGAGTAGGGACCCCACAAATTAAGCGTCGCTGTTTGCTGCGACTGGCTCGAGACCACCGCCGTAATCTAGCCGCGCCGTCGACCCCAGCCTGCTGCGCGCCGGCTGCGCCCAGGCCCCAGCCGTGCCTGGGGCAGGCCCCAGGTCTCCTGGTGCGGCGCCCAGGCGCCCCAATGCAGGCGCCCCAGCCCAGGCCGCGCCGCCGCCGCTGCGGCGCACCGCGAAGTGTGCGCGGCCCTTGTCCTCCAGCGCCTCCAGCACGTCTGGCGGCAGCTCCTCGTCGTCGTACTCCCCCTCCTCCGCCACGCGCGCGTTGTAGCTGTCGAGCACCCTGCGCACGTCAGGCGCGGCCCGCGGGCGGGCGGCGGGCGGCGCTCGGCGGCGGCGGAGGCGGGCGCTGGGCGCGTGGGCACGGGGCCCTTGGCTTGATGCCCTCCCTAGTATCCAAATCAGTCTTCTCTGCTTACCTTGAAGCTCAGGCGCACGACAACCATGTGCGTGCGTGCGTGCGCATGCACGGCCGCTGGCGCGTGTACGGGTGCGCAGGGGGCACCCACCGCTGGACCTCGGGGGTGGCCTCGTCCTCCTCGGGCTCTGGCTCCACCACCAACTCAAACTCCTTGAACAACTTCACGTCGCCGCCGCCGCTGCCGTCGCCGCCGCCGGGCGCGGGCGCTGGGGCCGCACCCGCTGCTGCCGCCTCTGCTGCTGCTGACGCGGGGCCGGCGCCCGCGCCTGCCGCCGCCGCCGCTGCCGCTGCCGCGCGCTCGGCCGCATATGAACCCCAAGGGTCTGCCTCTGCTGCGGCGGCCGCGTCTGGTTCCTGCAGCAGCGGGATGCGTCCAAGCAACGCACAAATCGGTGCATCCAGATGCCGCCAAAGCGATTCCAACCGCCGCCCTACCGCACCTATCAATATGACATCACCAAACCTTGCTTTTTGCAATCCCCGCCATTGAACGACAGCACCACACACATGTGTGCAAACCGGCGGTGCGCGGCGCAGCGACCCACCGAAAGCTGCGGCGGTGTCAAGTCGTCCGGCCCCGGCGCGACGGGCGGGTAGTACGGGTTGTCGCGCGGCAGCTGGCACCTGAGCGCGCGCACCGCGCCGGCGGCCGCGAGCTTGTCGCCGCGCTGTGAGGCGAAGACGAACAGCGATCTGTGGAAGGCGCAGGGTTCGTCATCCAGCGGGCTGTAGACCTGCGGTCGGGAGGGCCGCAAACGGTACCGAAATTGGTGGAAGGCCCCGGTATGGGAGGGGCGGAGGGCGAGTGCCTGAGTGTCCCATTGGGAGGAGGGCGTCGAGGGGTGCAGCGGCCCACCTGCAGCAAAAAGCGCATCGGCGCACCCGTGGCGCCGCACGTCAGTTGGGCGCGGCTGGGCAGGTGCACGGGGTCCAGCCATGCCTACGGCGGCGCGTGGTGTTGCGGACGATGGGGATGGCGGTGGGTCACGGGGATGGCAGTGGGTTGAGGGCAGCGGCCGCTGCAGGAAGAGCTGCTGCCACCGCCTCCGCCGGCCGGCGGCGACGAGCGCACGGCCGGCAAGTGCAGCCGCAGCACGAGCAGCGACCAAGAACCTCATTCCAGTGTAGCGCAGCGCAAGGTGGATTCCAAAGTCTGATGCGGCGCCAACGCACCGGACGGCCGCCGATTTTGCTTGGGAAGCGGTGGCGCAGCAGGTCCGCTGGCCGCTCTGGGATTTCTGCATAGCCCAAGTTCCACTGCAGAGCATGCGAAGTGCGGTCACCACTTCGCCATCCTCCAACTCCTTGCGTGCCGTGCGCCAACACACCCGCCGTCGCACCTCGACCAGATCACCCTCATCGTCTGAGTGCTCTTCCCGCGGCATATCGGGCGCGTTCGCCTTGAATACAAACCACAAATACAATTGTATGGCCCTGTTGTTTGCAAAGACATAGATTTGTGCCGGTGCTTTGGTTTGTCGTTGCCTCGCCGACTCTCATTGTCGCGTGCTCCTGTAGAGGTGGCCAGGGACGAGAGGGATGCGTCGCGGCTTCTTTGCTGGCACGCCTGCGAAGGATTTCGCTGTCGTGGGTGCTGTGGGTGGCGCTCCATTACCTGCTGGTGCAGCTGCTGCAGCAACGCAGCCCGTCGCTCGGCCGCCACCCAAACCCCTCAGCCCAGAGGCCTTCGATCAGAGCTGGCGCCAGTGCTTGGAGCTCCTCGGGTCCCATAGCAATGAGAAGAAGTGCGTTCAAAGGCCGTGTCCTGTTCTGTGCATACCCATGTGTCTGGCTGGAACCTCAATCGTGTGCAACCTGCTGACGCCCTGCACGGCCCAGCGAAAGCGCCACTCTCACCACAACCATGCATCACCCCCCGAAATCCGTCCTGCGACTCGTCAGATTTGTGGGCCTGCTCATCGTGCCCAAGCTGCTGGCCCACGGCGGTGATGCAGTAATCAAAGAGGCGGTCGAGGCGGTCGGCTTCGATTTCCTCTGTCGCCTGCTGCTGCCGCTGACCCGGCGCCAGCAGCAGCGGCAGCAGCACCAGCGGCAGCAGCAGCAGCAGCGGCAGCAGCAGCAGCAGCAGCAGCAGCAGCAACAGCAGCATGCAGGAGATCAGGAGGCGCTCCAGTGCTGCCTGGCGCTCTCGGTGATAGGTGCAGCCTGCAGGGTGCCCGAGCTGGCCAGCGGCGATGACGTGCGTGCGCTGCTGCCTGAACTGCTGTCGGTTATCACGGCCGGCGGCGTCAGCCGTGCGTTGGGCTCAACAGTTGCTGGCGTGCCTGACGCGATTGCAGAGGGGGCCGAGGCGGACAGCGAGGGTGATGCGCTGGAATGCGTGCTCGCGGCCTGCAGCGCCCCCGGCGCCGCCGGCGCTGAGGCCGCGAGGGAGGCGGCGGCCGCCGGCGGCGTCGCCGCGGCCACGGCCGCACTGCGGCGCGGCGTCGCAGCGGGCGCGGCGTCCTCGCGTGCATTCATGGCTGTGCGGCTGGTGGGGCTGCTGCTGGGAGGAATGGCAGCTGGGAAGCGCCAGCAGCTGCTGGCATCATCGCCAAGTACAGCAGCAGAGGCGGTGCTGCTGTTGGCCCAAATGTTCGGCGCCGAGGGCGGCAGCGGCGGCGGCGGCGGCGGCCATGCCGCTGCAACCAGCCCCGGCACTGGCAGCACGCCCCCAGCAGTGGGCTGCGGCAGCGTGGATGCAGCCATGTGCCAACTGGAGGCGCTGCACGCGCTGCTGCTCCTGCTTCCCGCGGTTGGCAGCGGCGGCGACGCCGCCGCTGCCGTGCTGCTGCGCTCTCCCCGGCCCTGGCCGTCGCAGCTCAAGGCCGGCCTTGCGCGCCTGCTCGCCAGCCGCGTCGGGGACGTCCAGAAGCGCTCAGCGCTGCAGCTGGCTGCAGCTGCCACGCATCTGCTCGGGCCCCGGTGGCTGCTCCCGGGCGCCAACTCGGCGGGGCCGACGGCGCATGAAGACGAGCTGCGGTTCTTGACTGTTCTGACAGAGGTGCTGTGTGTCGAGGCACCGCTGCTGCTGAGCGACGCGATGGATGAGGACGCGCGCGTGCCCGACCGCAGGGCCCCAAGCGCGGCTCGTGGCGCAGCGGCCGTGGCTGCACAGGTTGGGGCCGAGGGGCGGCAGGCGGGCGTGGAGGAGGCGGACGATGGCGGCGATGAGATGGCGGAGGGCAGCAGCGGCGACGAAAACGAAGGGATGGCGGCGGCGACCGAGCAGCCATTTGAGGGCAGCGGCGGAGGAGCGCCCAGCCCCCAAGCGACGGAGCCCGGCCACGCCGCCACGTGGCAGCCGGCGAGCCGGCGCGCCGCCGAGCAGCTGCCTGCCTGCTACCTGCTGCTGGAGGCCCTAACCAGTGCTGTCTCAGAGGAGTCGGCCCTGATGGACCAGCTGGCTGACCTGGATGCGGTCAACCCCGCAGGCGACCCGCCACGGCTGCCCGTGCTGGGGGAGGCCGCGGCGGGGCAGCTGGTTCGGCGGCTTGGGGAGACTGCAAAGGTGCGTGGGGCGGGGGTTGTGTCCTCGGCGGCCTCATCGCAATGGACGCCGCCCATTTGCTGTTTCCTCCAGCAGGTTTTCTCCAGCGGCGCCGTGATGCATTGTGTACAGCATGTCACTCAAGCTGTGTTGCCTCCCTCTTTGCCGTGTGTCCGGTGCCTTCGACGTGAACACGCTTGTTGCCCGCTGTGTACTGCATCTCTCCCGCCTATGGCAACCCGTACCACACCCGCTCTGTCTGGGACTGCTGCACCAGGTCATCCTCGAGTTTCTCGAGTACATGGAGCAGCAGCACGAGGGCACAGCCACCAAGGACCCCCTTGTCTTGGGGGCGATCAGGGTCCTGGGCAGGTGAGGTGGGCAGTCGGCATCACAGCACCTGGACGGCTTCCTCAAGGCACCACTTAGCTGCATCAGCGATGACCACTGCCAGTTCTCAACAGTGTATGAGCCCAGCAACTAATTCTTCATCAATCATGCCATGTTTACTCCACTCTCCATGTTTGTGGATACCGCTGCCCAACCCAGGTTCCTTGCAGAGGTGCCAGACGCCCACAGCGAAGCTGTCCTGAAGCTGCTGCCCTTCATGCTGTCAGTGGACTGTGCGGATTACGGGGGCAGCAGCGCAGACGCCAGCGGGGGCAACTCCAGCATGGCATCTGGGGCGGCGTTCCTTATGCCGGCGTTGCTGCAGTTGACAAGCGCGGGTGGCGAGCGGGGTGCGGCGTGGCGGCAGCAAATCTCCAACTCTCAGCAGGCTCTTGCGGCGCTCGTACAACACGCGGCCGCGCTCGCCGATTCTGCGGCGGCTGCGTCAGCTCAGGCGCCCTGGTCGTCACCCTCCTGCTCTTCATCCGTGGGCGCAGCCGACGCGGCAAGCTATGAGGGAGCGCTGGCTGACACGTGCCAAGTTCTGTTGGATGTGTTGGATGCAGACGGCAGCGTGGCTGCCCTGGTTGCGCCCGGCAGCGAGGGCAGCGGCTCAAGAGAAGCCAAGGGCGCGAAGAGCGGAGGACATGACGGCCTTGGACCAGTGACGCAGCGTGTGCTGCCGCTGGTGGCGCCCCTGTCGGCCTGGGCGGCGGCGAGGCGGCTGCAGGTCGAGGCAGCTAGTGCGACAGGTGCTGTGCCTGTCACGGCGGGGGAGCCTCCACTGCTTGCTGCTATGCAGCAGCTGGGCGCGCGCCCAGAGGCGGCCGTCGCGTGCGGCACCGTCGTGGCGCTCGTGCTGGGCGCGGCCGGTGAGCAGCTGGATGCAGCTGGGAGGCGGCGGCGGCAGCAGGCGCAGCATCTGGAGGGGACGGTGGCGGGCGAGGCGGCAGCGACGGACGAGCAGCCGTTGCCCCTCCCGCTGGTGGCGGCGGGCTGCGACGCGGTGGCGTGGGCGCTCGAGGTCGGGTGGGCGTGTCACTTGGGTGACGCCATGCAGCAGCGCCGACAGGAGCAGATGGAGCGGGTCGATGGCGGAGCGGCAATCAAGGCAATCGTGCCGCAGGCCCTGGGTTTCTGGTGGGACGCAGACGCCGTTTTGCCGGCGTGGGCGAGGTGTCTGAGGCTGTCCGTGCGTCTCATGAATAGCGCACCTGTTCTCGCGGAGCTGCTGCGGCGCTCCCGATGGGTGCAGGAGGCAAAGCCAACTGCTGCCACTGACGTAGTGATGGAGGCGGTCACTCAGAGCGTTGAGCTGCAATTGCTCCTGAAGGTCGTGTAAAGGCCATATTTTTATTGTAAGAAGCTTTGATCCACAACATCAACACAAGAGGAGCGCGCATTCGTGCTCACAACTTTCAAAAGGGCTGGCAGGTGCTTGTCTCTGTTGTGACAAACAACTGCACGGTGTTTGCCGCACCGTGTCCCCGCCACATGTAAAAATTGTCGTTTGTACCACAGATACGATAGCGCGCATAAACCTCCTAGATCACAACCAATTGACGCCAAGATGGCCTCTGCGGGTGAGAAAGCTAGAAGAGCTGCTCAAACAGTTGGCTCTTGTGCTTAGATCCCCCGCGCTCAAACGTTTCAGCCGATGTGGCCCTCAAGTGCAGTGGCGCTGTGCTGCTTGCGCGCAACACAACAACGAGTGCTGCATCCCGCACACAGTCGCAGGCTTCCAGTATCCAATGGATGCGTTCCGTGAGACGCACGAGCTGATGGACAGCCTCATCATTAGCTACCAGACTGGCTGCAAGGAGGACACGGATGCTATCCGGGACGTCCAGCACATGGTGGTGGACACCTTGGCGGCGGCGGTGGAGCGGGAGCAGCAGGTGCAACAAATCATCAAAGGTGCGCGGCACAGGGGGGCGCTGCAGCAGGTGCAGCAGGTACTATTCACACACAGCTGCTGGCAGCCGCAAGCGCCCCCCGCCTGTCAAGGACGCTGTGCCGGTCAGCAGCTGTCAGACGGTATGACAGCAGCATACCGCCCGTGCAGCGATGCCACCTGGCCGGCCATGCCACAGACGAACGCGCGCGCCGCCACGCCGCAGCCCTGTCCTCCAAGATCAAGGGACTGGAGGCGGCTGCAGACTACAGCGAGTCAAAGGCGGCGCACGAGCGGGAGGTGGCGGGGATCAATGAGGCCATCCGCGCGGACCAGGCAGCGCTGACGCAGATCACCGAGGACACAAGATGAGTGGGGCCTTGTGGATGCGGTTGCGCAGCTTGGAAGCCTGTGGTCGGCCTGCTCAAGTGTAGCGGGTGCGCCTATTGAACTTGCAGCAGGTGCCTATCGCTGCCTGCCCGTTGACTAGTCCATTGCATTGCGTGGCTATGTCGGGTGTGCACAGACCTCAAACATCGCCATGTGCCTTGGCGCAATCCCTGCTGTGTCCGTGCCTCTGTTTGCGCACGGTGGCGGCAGACCGGCGGCTGGAGGTGCAGCGGCGGCGGCAGCAGCTGGCAACGAGCAAAACAGATGTGCAGCAGCAGGCGGCGGAGGAGGAGCCGCGCAAAGTGTGAGTTGGTCATCGAAGTCGCTTTCTTTGATGCAGGTAGCCCAAGTTGTCTGCAGCCTGGAAGAGGAGGCATCTTGCCTGCGGCAGATGAATTACCAAGAGATGCATGCCAAAATTGCAACCAACATAAGGCCACCGCGTTTTGTTGATTGCCGCACCCGCAGGCACCAAATCAGTTTGTACGCGCACATCACGGGCCTGGCGTTTGCGCTCGACACGATCAACGCGCCCGTCCACAAGGCGACCATATCTGACCCTTTGGGCAGCCACGAGCTGCGCACCGTGACGATCGATGCCGGCGGCCGCACGCCGTTTGAGACTGCCAACGAGATCTGGAGCCTGCTGTGATGTGTGTTTAGCTAGTTACCGAGGGCTTTGTACACTGTGCCCCGTGATCTTTGTTTGACACCCCCTGCACATGGGGCATTTGATGTGTTTCCTTGCGCTTGCGTGGTCTTGCTGGTGTGCACCAGCAGGTTGTTGGCGCTGCCTGCATGTGAGCGCGCCCAGCGGGATGCAAGGAGTTTAAACTTGTCGTTTAGGACCTGGTGGGCTTAGGGTTTGTAAATCATACATATGTGTCCCGCGGACATTTTGGAGGCGCCTGCAACAAACTGACCTGAGCAGCGAGGTGCATGTTGAGGAGTACCTGGCGACCTCCATGCCTGCTGAGGTGAGTGCAGGGGCAGGTCAACGTTTGGATCATGCTGCTGTAGACTCCGCCACCCCTTGTATGTCCCCGGCACAAGTTGATCATAGCATCTCCTCTTGAATTGCATGCAGGGCTGGCGTTGCCAACATGCGTACCGTACCGTAATTCGCACGGTCGCACTACCAGCACCTTGCGTTGCACCACCGCCCTGCAGACGAACACACGCACTCAGCGCTCCAGAAGCACAAGGTCGCATAAGCATCTACAATCCAACATCTTGATCCCTGGCAAATCTCGTTAGACTTCGAACTCGGACGTTGGACCCCAGCTCCGACTTACAAGGGAATTGGCGAAAGCACGGCCGCAAATAGCTCGCCGTCCCTTTACTCGCCACTTTGTATTCAACTCAAAGGTGAGTGCATATTCTGACACGGACACCATCTAAGGCTATGCCCGCGAAGCAGCCACCCGTTCCCGAGCGGGTTCAGCACCCTGCAGGCTGCTTGCGGCCCCGTCTGCTTTGCTGTTTGCAAGTTAGAAGCAACATAACCATAAGTGACCCTTCAGTGGACTCCGCTGCAGAACGGCAGCCTATGCACCATCCCGCGTCACGTGCCGCACCACGCTGACGCGATGCGCGCGCGCGCTCCTGCACCCTCTACCCCTCAACCCACTGCTCATCAGTTCACGAGAGCAGTAACCCCTGTGCACCCAGTGCCACCACGTTGTGTTGAGTGCTATTGACCGACACGCCGGGATCCCAGATGGTGTCAGACGCGCGCGCAACCGCGCACACTTGCCACCGCAACGCAGACAAGGTGTGTGCGGCGTCCCCGCAGCGCCACAGCGCCCCATACGGACGCGCGCATGGAGTACTCTGAGCTGGTCCTCTTTGCGCACCCCTCAGAAGTGCGCAATTCGCTGCAGTGCATAGCACTGCCGTCCCAGAAGGTTGCAACCCCCATACACACCGCCGAGACGTCTCACCACCACTCGCACCTTTCCCCTCCTCTGCCGCGCAGGGCGGTAGGACCCAGGCCAACGGTGTTAAGAGCATCAAGGTTGGTGTACTTGCGGCGTGCGGCAATGGTGCTTGGCTGCTTTCACGCAAGGAAGGTGCCAGTGTACCTGGGGCGGGGGGGCATGCATTAGCGTCAAAGCGCCTTGTGGGACGATCAGGTCAAGGGCGATACCGCCTGAGACGCATCTGTACACTGCGGTCGCATGCATGGCCTTCTCAAAGATCCTCTCCATCCCCTGCCCCCCTCCCCCAACCCCTTCTCCGCTCCACCAGGACCTGAGGCCCTGCAGCAGTGCCGAGGTCACCGCCGACCTCGTGGCCAAGAGCCCGCTGGCCAACAGCTTCGCCAGCCTGAGAGGACTGAAGGAGGGCGCAGAGAAGGAGGTGAGGCGGGCCGGGGCTGCGGGCAGCAGAGGGTGCAGGTTGCAATCCTCTGCATGCTTCACAGCTGAAATCCTCCTCGAATCACAGAAGGCGGCAATCTGATCTTCGCTCTTGCTCATTTTAAAGTGAGAAATTCACGTATCAGTGTTCCTCCTAGTTGCCTTTCATGCGTGAACCAGCATTGTCTCATCTAGGGCCTCTATTTGCTGCTGCGACGCACCCGCAGGTTCCACCGACCCCTCAGCGCGCCAGCCGCCAGGCCCCAAAGGGAGGGCCGCCACAGAACCCCAAGGCCGCCAAGAGCATTGAGTCCAAGGCCAAGGCTCCCAAGGCTAAGGTGTGGGGACGGGTTTGAAAAGCAAGCGTGTAGCTGCATCAAAAGTCCATGCGCCAGACCAAAGTTTGTCCTGAGTGAGACGTGAGAGCCGCTCCACCAACATACCGCTACGTGTGCCAGCTCAGCCTGTCGTAGACGAACCACTCAGAGTTGATGAAGTGATGGGTCATGTTGAGAGTACTGGGCATAGACACCCATCAAGCCGTCCTCATTCTCCCGTGCTTTATGCTCCACCTGCTGCGCAGGGCAAGAGCACCCCCACCACACCCGCCAGCAGTGCTACGTCGAAACCCGACGCTGCGCCCTCCAAGGAGGTGGCGCCGGCAGGCAAGGGAGTGAGCAAGGCGCGGCTCAAGGGCGCGGCAAGCTCCCCGTTGCCGCGCACAAACAAGGTGTGCTTCATAAGCTGTGTCAGGCGCGGGGCCAACACAGCAGCCCCCATGGAGTGAGCCGATGCATCTGCTGCCCTTGAACCTGCGCTATGCATTTCATCATCCCCGCTCATTATGCCTTTTTTCTCTAAATATCGCCCTGCAGGCCTCCAGCGGCCACATCAAGGTCCTCATCAGGGCCACATCCGCACCTGTCACCCCCAAGCCTGCACCCAGCAGCAGCAACTGCACCCCGGCAGACACCGACCCTCTTCGCCGGTTGTCAGTAGCGTCGTGGGGCAGCGCCTCGTACGCTGATGTGCTGATGACCAGGGGGCCCTCGGCGGTCATGGCAGCAGTGCCAGAGGAGCTGGCCGGGGCCGAGGGCGGTGGCTGCCTGGGCGCGAGCGCGGGAGAGGGCGACGGCACGGGCGGGCATGCAACGGACGCAGGCACAGCATGCAAGGAGACCAAGGGTCCCGCGTGCGATGGCAAGGTGAGCCTGGGCAGGCGTGATGGGCGACAAATTGGGTTGGGACGGCGGCCAACCTACGGCCGTGCTCTGAGTGGCTAGTTTCTAAATCGTCGCGTCCGGCGCGATGGACACCAGCCAGTCTCGTTTGACCCTGTGCAAGTGCTTGTTACGCTTGCTGTCCCTTTCAGATTGTGCCAAATTGATAGTGAGGTGAACAAGGCAAATCCCCCAGCCTTTTTATGTATGGCTGGTCCCCGCTGCAGTACACATGCCCAAAAACTCACACTCAATCACAGCAGGCGTTGGCGGGCAGCCAGGCCCAGGGCAAGGTGAAGTCCAAGGTCAAGGGCAAGAAGGCTGGCCCCCAGGCTGGCAGCGGCAACAGGGGCAATGGGCACAACAGCGACAAGGCTCAGAAGGGCGAGAAGGGCAAGAAGAAGGGCACCCCCCAGGTAGGGTTGGCTGTGGGCGGGCCTGACCCGGGTGAGTATGTTTTGCCACTGCCTTGCGTGCAAGACAACGCAGCCTGCCTCATCACTTTGCTTGGCCTGGTCTGGCAGGCGTTTGCGTGGACCACTGCTGATCCCCCAATCTGGTGCAACCACAGGCTCCCTCCAGCGCCGCCAAGGGCAGCGGCGCCGCATCAACCATGGTCGAGGCGCCCGCTGGCAAAGAGGTACCCAGCACAAAGGAGGTGGGTCTGCAATATTCCTGGTTGTTGCATCGATTGCCCTTGTAGTGAATGCGGGTGGAGTCGGCAGTAACTCTGTGCACACCAGAACAAGGCTGCGTGGAGGCACTGATCTACATAGGTCTCTGGACAAGATGCTGACATGACTCCCACAACAACCCCAGGCAACAAGCAGCGGCGAGGACCAGCCCGCTGCTTTCGGCAAGGTCGCCAGCGCCGCCGGGGCCTGCCGGGTGGTGGGAGGCAGGAGGACGGCAACCCACAAGGCGGCCTGCACCAAGGTGCGAGGGGCGGCCGGCAACAGGTTTTGCGCGCTCAGATGTTCCAGGTTGCGGATGCGACTGAGTCTCAGAGAGCGGTCTTGCACGCCGATGCAGGGCGTGTATTCCTGCCAAGCGCCACTGACAACAATGTGCACATGCTGTGTGTGCTGCGCCGCCTGTCTCAACACGCCAGCCCCTTCCTCTCGTGTGCAAGCTGCATTGACCGGCCCGCTCCATCCCGCAAACGCTCGGGCTTGACCCCTCAGGACGCCGCCGCCAAGAAGCCACAGACTACCCGGGCCACGGCCGCCGCCACCAGCAGCAAGGGCGCCCCTGCCGCCAAGGGCGCGCTGGTTGCCTCCAAGGTGGTGGGCAGCGCGGAGGGCGAGCCCGCGGCTGCGTTGGAGGGCGGCGCGGGCAGCCAGGGCGGCGAGGGTGGGGGCGTGGTCGTGGTGGCGGCGCAGGACAGGGAGGGGGAGGAGCGCGGCGAGAGCGTGGGCGTGCCAGCGAGGGGCAACGGAGTGGCCGGCGCGGTCAGCACGGCGGCCAGCTGCGACGGGAATGCAGACGCCGCAGCACTGGCTGAATGCCTAGGGTGCGGCGAGGGGCGAGACAGCGAGAAGGGCGTCGCGGTGCCGGCGCCAGAGCGCTATGAGAGCAGGACAGGCAGCAACTCGGACGACGGGGTGCCAGACTCAGGGATTGAGACGAGGGTGGTCAGTGCTGGGGCCACGGCGAGTGGCAGCGGTGGTGTCGCGAGCGCTGTTGTGCTTGCAGAGCGCGAGCAGTGCGGCGTGGCACAGGAGGCTGGCAGCGTCACGGTGGGGGAGCAGGGGCCCCACGCCGCAGGCAGCAGCGCTGCTCAGCAGGCGGCGCCGGCGGGGTGCTCTGCAGGGGCGGTGGACTGGTTTGACGCGTGGCTGCCGGTAAGAGTGCCTTGCGCCTCGGCAAGATTGGAGGCTAGATTGCATGCAGACAATGGGTGCGCTGTTTGGGTTGGGTGCAGATAGCGTAATCAAGCAGGTAGCGGCGTGCACGTGCAACTGGCTTGCGCTGCGTTGCGTCTCCATCCAACCACCATGGATGGTATCTGTTGTCAACCTGCTCCCCCACCCCTTGCCCGCCCATTCATTGCTGCAGCTGTCCCAAGGCCGGCCGGCCCTCACCGTCAACCAGGCCACCCGGCAGGCCGAGGCGTTCAAGGCGCAGCGGGATGAGTCGCGGCGGCTGTTTGCGCTGGAGCGGGGCAGGCACGCGGCGTGCAAGGAGGCAGCGGAGCAGCAGCAGCGGGAGGACGCCGCCACAATAGAGGAGCTGTGGCGCAGCGTCGAGGCCGCCAGGGCGGAGGCGGAGCGCGAGAAGGCGCGCTGCAACACGCTGCCCTCGGCGCGCCGCGCAGCGGCTGCACATGAGCGTGCCGCCCGCCTGGCTGCGCAGGCGGCCGTGTCGAGGGCGGCGCTGGC